ATGACCCGAGAGGCTGACTGGGATTAGCCCGTTTGCAGAGACGACTACAGGAATAATTTCGGTCGGCAGACCACCCCACATGTCGGTCACCTCGTGAGCCAGGTCTAGATATTTTGTTTGCTTGTCTGTTTCGGCTTTCACGAGGTTCTCGTCATACGGAATGGTAATGTCGACCAAAAATATCCTTGACTGTGCCCGGTCCATCAGCACAATATCAGGCTTATTCGCAAGAATAGTCCTGTCTGTGATGATGGCCCGGTCCCAATAGAGCCTGGCGCGATCATTTTCGAGCACGGCTTCCGGCAAGTACTTGTAGTACGGCAATTTCAGGTCCACGAGACCGTATTTCAGAGCGAGCTCCCTGGTGTAGAATTCTGGCTACTAGGTTGTGGCTGTGCAAGTACTCAGAGTTATAAAGCGCCGAACAACCGGAGATAACATGCCTAAGTGACTCACCGGGATGGCGACAAGCTCGACAGATGTCAACGGTGCCATCCTTTAGGATGTATCTCCGATAGTTGTTGGTCTTAATAACCTGATCCTGTATTGCACAGACAAAACCCTCGGTTTCCCCGAAGAGATCACCAAAGCGTAGCCAGTGGAGGGAGGCTACTGTGTCTACGAAAGGCTCATGTAGAGCCTTGTAGAACCTCCCGTGGAGCTCCTTCTCCTTCCATACGGTCTCTCGGTCGGAAATGCTCTGCACTGCCGGGTCTTGCCATTGCTCGTTAGCTAAGGATAGAGGGGTAAGTCCTTTATCACAAGAAATGACGTCTTTATAGAATGGATCATCCGATCTCGCCAGGAAGTAATCACGGAGGCTGCACACTTCGCGATTATGCATGGTGAGCGACGAAGAAAACCACGACCACCATGCTTCCGCGACAAGTACAACCTCATTACCGACGATCTCGGATGATGCATCCTATGGGACGTCATGGTAGTGCGGACTTTTCTATCCAGGGCGTTAAGTTCAGTCTGAGTCCGCCTGAGTATGCCAAAGGTATACATGAGGACAGGCATGACCCAGCCGTTATATGCGTGTGCCTATTCACACCGGACAAAAGGCTGTTAAGCACTTTGGTCAAGCGTGCATAAAACACGTCGCAAACTGACTGTTTCATACCAGCCTCATCGATACCGATGTTCTGTGACATACCCAGGTATCGGTATGTTTCATCCTCGGAAAGGGTCTTTAAGTTGACGGGCATAGATAAATCTATGCCCTCAGAGTTAGCAACCCTTCCCCTTTCAACATGAAGGACCGCACACTTATCCGTCCCCAGCTCCATTCCAATGGAATTGCTAAATTCACAAGTGATGTTTAGCAATTCCATAAGATGGGAGCGACTGGAGGCGAATAACTTAAGGTCATCCATATAGAAAAGGTGGGTCACTTTTGTTCCTCCTTTCCGTAGCTGAAATCCTCTCCCGGAGCCCTCCAGTAAGGTACTGAGAAGGTTTAGAGAGAGGCAGAACCAGATTGGACTCAGACAATCGCCCTGGAAGATACCCCTTCTTATCCTTATGTGGTTCTCCGCAGCCATCATCCTCTCGCCCTGATAACAGAGGATCGTACTCCACTGCCCCATACACTGCTCGAGGAAGTCTCCAACTGTATAGTCAATCTTGTACAGCTCGAGGACCCTCTTTAGCCATGCATGGGGCACCGAGTCGAATGCTTTTCTGTAGTCTATCCAGGCGGCGGAGAAGTTCCGACGGTTGCGTTTCACCACTTTGCCAATGACCGCGTCAATGAGGAGTGGTTCCTTGGTTCCACGACCACCGCCCCGACATCCATTTTGAGCGCGTGACATCACCTGATTTAGCTCCAGGTGACGAGTGATTCTCGCGCTCAAAATGGATGTCAGTGTCTTATATATAGTGGGTAGACACGTGATGGGGCGGTATTTGCTCGGGTCTGTGGTATCCTGATCTTTAGGAACCAAGTGAGTGATCCCAGTAGTGAAGAGGCTCGGTAGCGACTTCTGATCGAGAGCCTCTTGATACTGTCGGGCGAGCACAGCGTGACACACTACGAACCCCTTCAGCCAGTAATGATGCAGCTCGTCGAGTCCCGGACTTTTCCAGTTCGGGGCCCTATGGACCGCCTCAGCCACGTCTTCAGGCGTTATGGTGACGGGGTCCATAGGCGTAAAACTTGCACTCTGGCTCGCCACAACTTCCATCCAAGGGCCCTCGCTGTGGTTTACGGGCTCTGACCACAGGCCAAAATGCGACAGTGTCAGCCTGATCCGGTCCTGGGCCCGCTCCTCATACCTCTGGTCGCTCCAATGATTTATAGAGCCTCTTCTGATCACTCTGGAAGAGACGATTTTGGTTTAACCGCCTTGACCTCGCTAAATCGTCGAATCCGTTTCCCCCAAGCAGCGATTTTTTGCTTCAGGTCATCTATGCGCTCCGTTAGTTTCTGCGTGATATCCGGCTGGGACAAACTAATATTTGTCCCAGCAAACGCCATTCTAACGGTGCGCACAACTCTCGATCTAATATTACCCGACCTGAAGCTTGACAGTCAGTAAGGGCCCTTGCCTTTGCGATACGATCCTCGATTCATTTTCTCCAGGCTGGGATGGCACTGGCACTGGGATAACGGGAGACGCCCAAGCCCGCACCGTTTCGTGGTTCGGTCATATGCACAAACGGACCTTTGCACCCACAATTTCCTAGGCACGGCGCTCATACCTCTTGGCAGGGCGCTGACTGACTGCGCCGACGAAGTAGTTTTGTCACATAACTGTTACGTCAGTGGGCGATGGGGTCGTCACTTCCCTACGTCTTTTTATTATTACTATTGTGGGGTATCTATATAGTTTTCTCATCTGGTTGGGTTCTATAAATATATAATTATAAATGAAAATGAATAGATAAATATACATAAATATCAATAACATAAAATAAACATAAAAATACATAAATAAATAAAAGCACAACCAGATGGAGGGCCTCGGCAGGGGAGACCAAACGGCCGAGGGTTAGGGGGGAAAGGGAAAGAAACCGGCGGACGATGCGGGCGGTATCGAGGAGCACCGCCTTCTGCATTTGAGCCCGGAGCGGTCCGCCACGTAGTCCCAGTCGCCTCAGATGACCCGAGAGGCTGACTGGGATTAGCCCGTTTGCAGAGACGACTACAGGAATAATTTCGGTCGGCAGACCACCCCACATGTCAGTCACCTCGTGAGCCAGGTCCAGATATTTTGTTTGCTTGTCTGTTTCGGCTTTCACGAGGTTCTCGTCATACGGAATGGTAATGTCGACCAAAAATATCCTTGACTGTGCCCGGTCCATCAGCACAATATCAGGCTTATTCGCAAGAATAGTCCTGTCTGTGATGATGGCCCGGTCCCAATAGAGCCTGGCGCGATCAGTTTCGAGCACGGCTTCCGGCAAGTACTTGTAATACGGCAATTTCCGATCCATGAGACCGTATTTCAGAGCGAGCTCCTGGTGAAGAATTCTGGCTACTAGGTTGTGCCTGTGCAAGTACTCAGAGTTAGAAAGCGCCGAACAACCGGAGATGACATGCCTAAGTGACTCACCGGGATGGCGACAAGCTCGACAGATGTCCACGGTGCCATCCTTTAGGATGTATCTCCGATAGTTGTTGGTCTTAATAACCTGATCCCTGTATTGCACAGACAAAACCCTCGGTTTCCCCGAAGAGATCACCAAAGCGTAGCCAGTGGAGGGAGGCTACTGTGTCTACGAAAGGCTCATGTAGAGCCTTGTAGAACCTCCCGTGGAGCTCCTTCTCCTTCCATACGTTCTCCCGGTCGGAAATTGTCTGCACTGCCGGGTCTTGCCATTGCTCGTTGGCTAAGGATAGAGGGGTAAGTCCTTTATCACTAGAACGTCATTTCTAGAATGACGATTTCTCCTTATAGAATGGATCATCCGATCTCGCCAGGAAGTAATTACGGAGGCTGCACACTTCGCGATTATGCATGGTGAGCGCGCTCAAGAAGCCACGCCCACCATGCTTTCGCGGCAAGTACAGCCTCATTACCGACGATCTCGGATGATGCATCCTGTGGGACGTCATGGTAGTGCGGACTTTTCTATCCAGGGCGTTAAGTTCACTCTTAGTCCACCTGAGTATGCCAAAGGTATACATGAGGACAGGAATGACCCAACCGCTATATGCGTGTGTATTATTCACACCAGACAAAAGACTGTTAAGCACTTTGGTCAAGCGTGCATAAAACACGTCGCAAACTGACTGTTTCATACCAGCCTCATTGATACCGATGTTCTGTGACATACCCAGGTATCGGTATGTTTCAGCCTCGGAAAGGGTCCTTAAGTTGACGGGCATAGATAAGTCTATGCCCTCAGAGTTAGCAACCCTCCCCCTTTCAACATGGAGGACCGCACACTTATCCGTTCCCAGCTCCATTCCAATAGAATTGCTAAATTCACAAGTGATGTTTAGCAATTCCATAAGATGGGAGCGACTGGAGGCGAATAACTTGAGGTCATCCATATAGAAAAGGTGGGTCACTTTTGTACCTCCTTTCCGAAGCTGAAATCCCCTCCTGGAGCCCTCCAGTAAAGTACTGAGAGGGTTCAGAGAAAGGCAGAACCAGATTGGGCTTAGACAATCGCCCTGGAAGATACCCCTTCTTATCCTCATGTGGTTCTCCGCAGCCATCATCCGCTCGCCCAGATAGCAAAGGATCGTACTCCATTGCCCCATACACTGCTCGAGGAAGTCTCCAACTGTACAGTCAATTTTGTACAGCTGGAGGACTCTCTTTAGCCATGTATGGGGCACCGAGTCGAATGCTTTTCTGTAATCTATCCAGGCGGCGGAGAAATTCCGACGGTTGCGTTTCACCACTTTGCCAATGACCGCGTCAATGAGGAGTGGTTCCTTGGTTCCACAACCACCGCCCCGGCATCCATTTTGAGCGCGTGACATCACCAGATTTAGCTCCAGGTGACGAGTGATTCTCGCGCTCAAAATGGATGTCAGTGTCTTATATATGGTGGGTAGACACGTGATGGGGCGGTATTTGCTCCGGGTCTGTGGTATCCTGATCTTTAGGAACCAAATGAGTGATCCCAGTAGTGAAGAGGCTCGGGAGCGACTTCTGATCGAGAGCCTCTTGAAACTGTCGGGCGAGCACAGCGTGACACACTACGAACCCTTTCAGCCAGTAATGATGCAGCCCGTCGAGCCCCGGACTTTTCCAGTTCGGGGCCCTACGGATCGCCTCAGCCACGTCTTCAGGCGTTATGGTGACGGGGTCCATAGGCGTAATACTTGCACTCTGGCTCGCCACAACTTCCATCCAAGGGCCCTCGCTGTGGTTTACGGGCTCTGACCACAGGCCACGCCAAAATGCGACAGTGTCAGCCTGATCCGGTCCTGGGCCCGCTCCACATACCTCTGGTCGCTCCAATGATTTATAGAGCCTCTTCTGATCACTCTGGAAGAGACGATTCTGGTTGAACCGCCTTGACCTCTCGCTAAATCGTCGAATCCGCTTCCCCCAAGCAGCGATTTTTTGCTTCAGGTCATCTATGCGCTCCGTTAGTTTTTGCGTGACATCCGGCTGGAACAAACTGATATTTGTCCTATCCTATCCTGATCCTAACGGTGCGCATAATCCTTGGTCTATTATTACCCGACCTGAAGCTTGTCAGTCTGCCGATAAGGGCCCTTGCCTTTGCGATACGGTCCTCAATTCTTTTTTCTCCAGGCTGGGATGGCGCTACTTTTTTGAGTAGCACGTCCAGCCACGGGAAGTTTGGCGCCAATAATACGGCATACTGCCAGTGCAGCGCCAAAAAGAATTGAATCCGTCTCGCAAAGATCCTGCCTGGCTTCCAAATAGGTCACCAGCATTGGGTTAAGAGCCCGCACGACAGCCCGATTTCGCTTGCTAAGGGGTATGCGGGGGAAGTCGCGGTCGATTTTCGAGAGGCATGCTGCGCGTTTCCAGCATCGACTCTTCCAATATGCTCCTCATTTTCTCTAGTTCGTGGGAGACTATTCCATCATCGTCTGAATTAGCCACAAATGGAATGTTGACGGCAGCATCCACATATGCAGTTTGTTGCGCATCTAGTGGCGCCGCATTCCCAGCCGTAGCATTTCCATTCGATGAAGGAATAGCCTCACGTCGTAGTCGCTCGAGTTCGGTGTCACCAAATATGTTGGAGCGCAGGATGTACCTAACTCGGTCTGCCAGGTTTTGCTCAGTGACGGATAGAGATGACTCCAGCTCTGCAAAAAAGCGATGCATCCGAGCCCGATACGCCAAACATCCAGTTTCTTCCCCTTTTGCCCTAAAATACGCCCGCAGTGCGTTTTCATTCATTGATTTAGACCAACGCATGCGACGTGCTCCACCAGCGGCGGGTGCCGCTTGCTGAGTCCGAGAAGACCCAGCCGACACCAAGCCTTCTGGTGGGGATGATGGATGCGGGGGGCTGCTAGGTGGTCTTGCAACACCCCGCGCTCGGCTGGCGGCCCGCATGCTGTCGCGTCCAGCGCCAGCTCCAGACGCGCCCTGGCTACCTCCAGGCAGCGGCCCTTTGCGCACTATCTTTTTCTCCATCATCCATAATATGGGCGTCCATTAACGGGAGACGCCCAGGCCCGGCACCGTATCGTGGACGTCCATAAGCACAAACGGGCCTTTGCACCCTGAATTATTATTATTATTATGGGGTATCTATATAGTTTTATTATTATATTATGGTATTATTATTATTATTATTATATTATGGTAGCTCAAATGGTATATCGAGCGGTCCCTAAATCGTAGTACCCTTGTGGCGAGTTTTATATTTTATATTTTAAACGTTGAAAATTCAAAAATGTTCATATTTTATACTTAAATTTTAAACTATTATTAATGTATGTTTTGTTAATTTTTAATGATACGATTGTTAATAAAAACGTCTAAAATTTGTATAATATATATACCTATTCATGCGCCATGCATTTTTATGTATTTGCATAATGAAGAATGTAAACCTGGTTCGGTCGCTGAGCCCGCGCCTTCGAGACAACGAGATCGCCAGTTCGTTCGCTTCCCCGTTGCACGTTGCATGTGTCCTATACCTGTTTTTAGCCTAAGACCCACGCTTACGCAGTTTGTATTGTTAAATTCTTCTTTCCGTATTTAACTGTGTTCCTATCTTCTCATTCGTACCTTCTGTATTGTGCTGTTGTTAGACTGTCATTACTATGTGCCCAGCGCAATAAAAAAATAAAAGTGTAAAAATAGGTTCGAGTCCTGTCTTCGGTCCGATTTTTTTTTTCAAGTTCCCTTCTTTTTTGAGAAAATCTATTATTTCGAGCCCTTTTTTTAGTTTTTTTTAAACATGAACATTTAAATTAAACTAATTGCACTCTGATATTGCCCCGGCATCCATTTTGAGCGCGTGACATCACCTGATTTAGCTCCAGGTGACGAGTGATTCTCGCGCTCAAAATGGATGTCAGTGTCTTATATGGTGGGTAGACACGTGATGGGGCGGTATGATATTTTATTCAAATGACCAATTCAGTTTTTTATATTATGTCAGTAAGATCAAAAAATATTATTCTTATTTCATCAGTATGTAATTTCTATCTAAATATAATTTCCAAAACACACGATTTCAAAAAAAAATCCGAGTAAAGCTCGGTCATCCAGGTTCTATTTAATTAAACAAAAACTTTATAAAAAGGGTTATTATAATATAAATGAATACATGATTGATAATAACCCCTGGGAATGAGGTGGTCGCTTCCAAGCTGTTTCTAAAATAAATTTTGTAAATATTTTGTTACCAAGACATTAAAAAGTTATTTAAAAAAGAGTCTCGCTGGGTTTCTTGTTGGTTCTTCCGAGGACTGAGGTTTTTATCGCACCAGTGGTAAAGTAAAAAATGACTTTCAATAAGATTTACGACATATAATCTAAATTGAATAAAAATATTCTATTCTATACTATTCTGTTATGGAGTTGAATCCGGGTTCGGGACAAAAAATAAATTATTGAGTTTTTCCGTCAAAAAAATTCTCTGTAGTTGTAGTTAGGAAGTTAGGCGTGTCTCACCTCTTTCCGGTCGTGTTGGTTTACCGTCCCATCAGATTATGAGATATAAAGAGTACAACTGTGTTTGTGAATACACCTGGACACTACAATCCTGTCCTGCGTTAATGGATAGTGTCCGTTGAAGCAGGCCGCTTTGACCGAAATTTGGTGTGAATGACATTAATATTAATAAACATTATGCATTAAGCTGCTATTTTACGCTGGTGTTCTGTGAGAGCGTGGTCTTTCTCTGGTTAGCGACACATTCGTACTGTGACCATAATATAGCTACAACATGGTTCTACCGGGTCAAAATATACGAAGTAATAAAAGTTTTGTAATAACCACCACGATACCCTAGGTAATAGTGTTCCTATTCCGTCTACGAGTCTATCTGAGTAAAACTGCCTGATTTACTATTTCTAACGCCAAATATCACTGCTTCCAATGTGTGTCGGGGTGAAGCGTTAAAAGGGCCGAGAAAACAGGCTGTGAGGTATTCCCTCTTTGCCCTCTTTGCACGCATCTGTGGCGTTGTTTCTTTAAAGCTGCCTGCAGTCCATGGATCGCAATGTCCAGTAATATCAGGAACTTCTGTCAGCCATCTCTCTCATCTATGCACAGAGAGGACGATTCACTGGCCCATGCCGCAAAAGACAAAGTCGATCTGCTGGGCTCTTTCTTTGCGTCCAACTCGACTCTTTATGACGGGGGAATCACACCGCCGATCATCCCTCGGCGTGAGTGCTCAATGCAGGATGTCGTGTTCGCACAGTGCGCAGAGCACTCGTCTCCCTGATTTCAACAAGTCGAGTGGGCTGGATGGAGTCCCTTCTATTGTGCTCCAGAGTTGGCACCGGATTTAACACGTCTTTTCTATTACACCAACTCCCTCGGCGTAGTCCCGAAATCATGTAAGACAGCCCTCGTGCACCCGATCACTAAAATAAATAACCGCTCTGATCCGTCCAACTATAGGCCTATCGCCATCACCCCCTATTCTCTAAAATAATGGAATCCATTATTAACAGCCAGCTCATGCGGTACCTTGAGGATCACCAGCTGATTAGCGATCACCAGTACGGTTTTCGTCGCGGTCGCTAGGCTGGTGATCTTCTGGGTTACCTAACTCATAAATGGGAGGAGAGTCCCCGTTGACCGTTAGTTTGGACATAGCGAAGGCTATCGATCGGATTTGGCACAAAGCGCTTCTTACGAAGCTTCCTTCCTATAGGCTTACCGAGAAATTGTACAATTGGATCACCAGCTTTCTTGCAGATCAAGATAAGATACAAGGCTGCATGCTATCACCATCGCTGTTCCTGCTGCATATAAATGACATGTTGCAGACCGGTAATATTTATTGCTATGCAGACGACAGAACTGGTAAAGCTTTATACACCGGCCGTGGCAATATTTCTCGGGAAAAGGTTGCAGAGTACCGAGACAAACTTGTATCTAAAGTCAAAAATTTGTTGAACAAAGTCTCGGACTGGGGGCGACTAAATCTAGTCCAGTTTAATCCCCAAAAGACACAAGTTTGCGTTTTTTCAAAGCACTCCCTTTGTTACCTCCGCCAGTATTGGAATCCTCGGCGTCGACATATTGAGTGACGTGCAGTTTCGTAGTCACTTGGAAGAGAAGGCCAAATTGATCTTAAAAAACTTGGCTTGCTTAGCAGAGCGATACAGTATTTCATGCCGGCTCACCGCCTGCAACTTTACAAGGCACAGGTTTGACCGCACATGAAATACTATTCCCATCTCCGTGCTGGGGCTCCCCAGTGCCAGTTCCTTCAATTTGATCGCATCCAGTGCAAATCTGTTTAAATTGTCAGCGACCGAGCTCTTTGCGATCGGCTCGACTCACTGGCACTGCGAAGATATGTTGCATCTCTTGGCGTGTTTTATCGCATCTACAACGGACTCCCTGTTGACGAAATGTGGACTAATTCCAGCAGCACAATTTCACCATCACACATTGCGACGAAACTCGCGATACCAGCCATACTATCTGGATGACTGGCGTGACACCACCGTGCGATTTAAAAGAAGTTTTCTTCCTCGCATAACTTCATTGTGGAATCGAATACCACCAGAGATTTTTCCGGACCGATATGACTTAAGGACCTTAGAGAAAAGAGCCTACTCCTTTTTAAAAGGCCGGCAATGCATTTGCAATTCCCTTGGTATTGCAGTTGTTCATGGGCGGCGGTAATCACTTATCATCAGGTGAGCCGTATACTCATTTGCCGGCTCTCCTATAAAAAAGAGCATGACTGTAAATTCGTTCGTCACTTCAGTTTTATAAAAATAATATCCATATAAATAGTTTTTTTTTTTAAATTAGGTATTTAAACTTAAAACCAAATGCAAGCGATACATTCACAACGCCTTCTCCGTGGCACTTATCTCCACTCCAACTGTGAAAAATAAAATGTTTGCCATAAAGAGTCTGGAATAAACATCTTATATAATGTTGCTTCGTCGAAACAAAGGACACAAGTTTTCAAAGAGCACATTTCCGTAAGGATAGGGTAATTAAGATGATGTTGAAGACTAAATTTTAATTGATTTCTTAATCAAGATCTGCAAAGTATGAAACGCTTGTTGTAGAATGTCGAAATATAATTGATGGTTTTGTTGTTTATTTTACTACAACTTTGAAATGTCTCTATTTGTTTTTAAGCCCATTTAAAAAAAGGGATGACTTTTATAATTTCTATTTCTTTATCTCTTTTTATTTTTAACTGAATATGTTGTACAAAAGTATTTTATTTGACTTATTATAATATATAAGCCAGTGATTAGTCAAGCACTAGTGAACTAATACGCAATTCGACTGCGTGGTTTTGAATGTCTGTAACCGGATCTCTTCGTCAATCGGGAACTGAGTTTGATAATTATTTTATATTGAATGGGTTATAGGTACTTCCCATATAAATTTGGAAAAATACTCCACCCATATGAGTGGCAAAATATTATGGTAATAAAATTGAAACTATTTAGATAAAATTGAAAGTGTGATATTACTTATTCCTTCATAAAAATATTAAAATAACTTCTTATAACAGGTAAAATCGACTTTAAAAACTAAAAAAATATAAATACGTTTCATGTTCTGTAGTCGGGCCATTTTATTCCTCTATAACTTGCTTTCGCATCAACTGAAATTATTTAAATCTATTTAATTGTTTGAAGTTGGCTCTTACTGTTTATTAATTTTTTTTTAATTTACTAAAAGGGACATGTTATCAAACCCAGGGCGATTTACATTCATAATTTCTCGCACATGTTCGAACTTGTAGATCATATCATATAAATACTTGTTCCTTGCCAAAGCTTATCAATTAATTTCTGAGAGGATTTAAGGGCAAGGAAATGTCTACCGCGCTACCTCGATGAGCGTTGGCGGATCTTACATGATTTCGAAATACTATTTTTAATTTCTCAAACAGTAGCACTTAAAATTGCCTTTAACAACTTCAGTGGCCCACATATAGGTTGCTTGCGTTTTGATTTCAGGCGAGA